AAATTGTTTATTTAACGTTATTTTTCATAGTTCATTTTATTAAACAATGTATGCACAAATAACTTTGAAAGGCAATTACTCAAAATCCTGTTTATCTTGGCTCTAAGAGTACTGTACTTTCACTTTCCAATAACTTAGGCTTGAAATGTCCAATTTAAATGAATGACCCCTCATTTTAAAGATCACATACTCTGGTATTTGAAAATACCAATAACCTGAATTTCAATTTTTGCTACAACTTAGCCATTTTGCCACAACATGCCTCATATCATAAATTTATTGTATTTGCATTGCGAATTATTGATACAATTTACTTTAATTTATTTATAGATCAACTGAAATCAAAGAATTATATGTTCTCGTTGATTAACATGTTTTAAAACCCCTATTAAGGACTCAATTTCAACTATTTGCTTAGTGCATTGCTTGCAACGCAGATGTATAAACAATGAAATGAAATTGGTACAATGTTTTGTTTAATTTATATTGAAAGTTTCTAAAAAGCTGTAATTGTAATACTCATTACATACAACTTTGACATTAGCAACACTAGATAATGTCTAAATAAAATAATAAACTAAAAGTTGAAACTAAATTTACTGTAATGAATATTTCAACTACTACAAGTAGTCTTTGTCGACGGATTGAAGAGTTGAGACATTTTAAGATAATTTAATGATATGGCCTAAAACAGCCGTTTCGAAAGCAGAGGCAGCACACTATTAAGTCTGAATGTTTCAGTTTAATTTCTCAAAAAGAATGTATACTTTAGAATAATGATACACTGAAAATGATACATTATCCTAAAAGTAGTACAGTATACTATTTTCACTCTTAATTCATGGCAACTTCCTAAATATTTGCAAGTGGAACGACCGATACATCGGCACTGGTTTAGCTCTATAGGAAATCCTCGCACAAAAACACACCCATACATCTAATTGCTGCGAGTCACTAGACGAGCAGCGACACTAATTTCGACGTACGCCAGTATAGATCTCGATTTTTCCAGGACTCGAGATGAATTTTCCGGAGAGCATCGGATCGTTTTCGGTTTTTAGCCCGAAAGCGCGATGAAATTCGAGTGTTTTCGGAGCCTTTTCGAGATCCACATGGTCCCGGCGGCGAAATTTTTTTTCGTGAAGGACCAAGCATATAACGCGCTCTGATTGGCTAATGATAAGATGACATAATCGCACTTTGTTTGACAGTCGCAAGGTATCTCGCACACTCGTCAGAGCAATGCGGCTGCGATACACTCCAACAAAACAATCTATGCACATACAACGCGCCGAGTAAGCTTGATTTATAGGTGTAACAGATTACATTATTGGGAACAACATTTAGTAGGCTACCATAGTCACAGCTGATCATACAACTCTAATACCAATGCTATCAATAGGCCTAGAAAACACTGTAGTAGGGCCTATTATGAGTACAAAAGAGGTCGTTTGCATAGAGGGCCTAATAGTAGGCCTATAGTTAGTAGGCCCTGGGATCACAGACTTTTAGGCAGGACATGTTCATGATATTGATACTGTACCTTTTTTAAATAGCGATTTCGAATAGTTAACGCGCCCTTCCCGACGAAAAATAGAAATTTCAGAAAAACATAAAAGTGTTAAATATTTTTATTATGGCTTTAATTCATTCCCCTGAAACATCCACAAATTAGATAAGTTTAAAGCATTTATCAATCTCATTACAACACTTGTTTCAATTTATATCAACGAAAATTTTATTTTCATTTTGTCTTTCACTTTGCCTTTGGCAAAATCATTTTGCTAAATAATTCTTCCCTCCCTCTGACGGCTTCTACAAAAATAAGTTCACTAAACAAGGCACAGTATTATTCGAAAAGTCTGTCCTTTACTTACCTGTCTATATGTCTGTTAATGGTAGTCAATCAATTAGACTGGGTTCCAGTCCCTAATCTTTGTCTTAATCAGTTGAAATTCTTAAGAATAAATCGATTTTGGCACAAATGGCGTTCCATATTACTTATTTGCATGGCGTTCCATAGTATACT